TTTCTAAAAATCAGATATGATTTTATTCTCATCTGCCGTCATATTTCTAGACCTCTAGCATGACCCAACCTAGTTTTGCCTCTGTGAAGTCAGCTAGAATTGTGTGCACTCTGTCACAAAAGATAACTTTCCCCCTTGTTTAGTTTCATTGGGAATTTGTTTTTACTGCATGTTTGCAGGCATAAATCATTCTGACAAATAACCAGTTACACTGGTGCCTGTGTTTACTGAGTCTGCCACAAGATGCTGCTCAGTTTTATTTAAGCAACTGCTCCAACTCTACAGCACAACCCCATTACAGTGATAGTTATTCATCACAGTCTGAGAGGTCTGCCCTCTTAAAGCTCGCAGTGGACCAGCTGCTTTGTTGCTGTCAACATCAGGTCCTACAGAACCTGCTTTGATACACATTACCGGAACATTTAATAAAAATCTACTTCGAGGTTGTTAAACCTATAGGTTAGGTCTGATTAGAGATTTCCCCCCTGGGCTTTATCAAGCTGTTGATTTTGTTTTCTTTCTTAGATAATCTGAGAAATGTTAAGCCCCTTGCACTGACTTGATAACAAATCAAAATATATTTAATTTCAATATAAATCTAGCTGTTCTGTGAAAGCCTTAGGGGTTTGTTTGAAAATATTTATTACATAAACTACCAATTTAAGAGCAAGGAACACAGCAGAAAGGCCATGAATAAAGTTTTGGTGAAGAATAGAAAAAAATATATATATAAAACAAACCTCAAAAACATAATTCTCCACCTATAGCAAATGGAAAGGCTGAAGAATAAACAAGAGACGACCATTACTTACAAAGGCCCCAAATAAAATCACTGTTTGCAGTTAGCTCCTCCATGTTGGGGACACAGCAACCATGCAGATAAACTGATCTGTTCAGATGATACCACATTTTAACTTTTTGGCCGAATATAAAGTGTCATATGTGGGGAAAAAAACTAACACTCCAGATAACTTTAACCTTGTGTGAAGCATGGTGGTGGCATCATCATCCTGCGGGAATATTTTCTTTACCAGAAATTTGCAAAGCTGGTCAGAGTTGATGCAATGAACTAAGCTAAATATGTGAGAATACTAGAGATAAATCTGTTAGAAGCTGCAAAACACTTGAGAATAGGGTGGTGAATCACCTTTTACTGGTTTGGATAAAACCAACCAACTGAAAATCTTGGCAATTTTCCGAAATGTATTTTCACCCGATCTGAACTTGAGCTATAAAGAAATAAAAAAAACAATAAACTGTCAAACATTAGAATCTACATGTGCAAAGATAGTAGATACTTGCAGCTGTAAATGTTTTAGATGTCTAGTTTATTCACTATTAATAACCCCTTACTTCAGAATCATGTAATAGTTTGTGTTGGTCTTTTATATGAATTCCTAATTGAATACACATAAACTTGTGATGTGGAAAAATAAAAAAAATTTCATGAGTAAGAGGTAAGCTTTATTATAAGGTTTTGTATGTAATAATAAAAACGTAATTTTGCCTGCTTTCTCCCAGCTGTAGGCTCCAGACTCCTATCATGCAGGCTCTCATGTATACTATTTCGCCTACCTAAACCACCCTTTCTGTGAGACAAACAGCCTTATTAGCTGGTCATTAGCTGCCTCATTACATTTAAACACAGACATTGACTGGGGATCTTCCTAGTACCTCATTATTGCGCCTGGCTGCTGTCTTGTGTCTGATCTGACGCTAATTAGAAAGCAGCGTGTAAATGCTGTAAAGCACACTTGCTTCACAGGTTTTGAAATGGGCTGACTGCTCCCTGGTGACAGCGCAGCACTGTATTATATGTGTGATTAATCAGGCCTGGAGCCCTGTAGCGGCTGAGGAAGGGTGGGGTGGGCGATGGGAGGGGGGGTTTACGGGGCAGAGGCCAGAGCCGCAGTTGTCTGACAGAGGTGCTGTGCCAGCAGGCCTCATTCAGCGGAGCTGTGATGAACTCAGACAGGGGAGAGTGAAGGAGCGCCTCATGGCCAGAGGGCCCCGGACACAGTCAAGACATTTAGCTTCACCCGTGACTTGTGTCACTTTCTCTCCACGGAGGTCCCTTCAATGCATCCCCTTCAGATAGGAGGACGTGCGAACAGCCAGTCTGTCAGTCCACTCGCTTAAAAAAAGATCTGCCACAAAGGCATTTCTGCACAACATATTTTTTCCCCTTATCTCTTCTGGCTGAAGAATTTCATCAGGACGCCTGGCTCAGGATCTCTTCTGGTTTGTTCTTGGCTGACAGAAAGCTGTTTGTTATAGAGTTCTGACACCCTGGCGATGTGTTTGTCGATCAGTTCATCAGATCGCCGAAGCCTCTGGGTTGTCCCTCGTGGACAAGAACGAAGATGTGTTGACGTGCGAGTCAGAATAGCCTGCCGGGCCCATTATCGTCCATTGCTGACGGATACATTGAAGGGCTTGTTGGGTAGATGCGGGTTTATTAAAAGCTCTGCCCACAGCGATGGCTGTTGTTATTTATGCATGTTTGTGTCCATTAGGCTTCTAGCTCCACATTTCCTCACTAAGGGCATCTGCCCATCCATTTCCCCACATGATAGCCACATTCCCTGCACTTTGTGCAGCACTGGCATTATTGTAATCGGCCTCCTAAAAACACACTGCTTTAAAATTTTTTACATTAGTGCCACTCTCTCATCTAAGATTCATGAATGACAGTTTCCCCATCCATTTCTCAATCTAATGGTATAAAAGAGACAATGTTTTAAACATTAAAATGAAAACCATTTACAACTATGATCAAAAGAGAACACTTGGGCATTAAAGTTTAAAAGGTAAGGATAAGTACAGCCATGTGGATGGACAGATGAGGTGGAAAAGAGATAAAAAAAAGTGAAGTACGATGCACTCCTATGTACGGGAAAGAGGCATAAAGTGCTTCTGCACTGCGCTGCAAAACGCTGACCTGTAATTAATATGGTTATACCTCAAGGCAATTTCAGGATGGTTGCTTTTTGAGATACAAATCCCTCAAGATTTCTTACCTGCTCAGGACCAAAGCACTGTGTAAAAAAGTTTCAGTGTTAGTCAAAACAATATTTGTTGTTTGAGTTACAACATATTAGTGTCTATGCTTGATGAATCTTGATGTAAAATAAGAAAATAATATTCCTTAGGTTTGTAGTCATTTACTGACCACTGTTCATTTACTGTTTCATTTACTGTTGAGTTCAACTTCAGAGGTCTCAAGTAACGAAGTACAAATACTTCGTTACTCTACTTAAGTACACTTTTTAGGTATCTATACTTTACTCCATTACTTATTTTTCCTCCTACTTCTGACTTCTACTCATTACATTTTCACACAAGTATCTATACTTTCTATTCCTTACATTTTTAAAACAAACGTTACTCGTTACTCTTGGCTTCGGTTTAATGCAGTAGTCACGAATTAGCGGACCGCGGTCCGGATCCACCTGCTGGCTAATCTGGACCCAACCTAATTTAAAACATTTATAAATGACCACATGTTGTTGGATGACAGCATCTAAACGTCACTTGCGCCGCTTCTCCTGTTACCCAGAAATCCCACATCCTCCGTCTCCTCCTCCTTCGAGCTCGAGGAGAGCATGTACGATATTGTCATTAAATTCGTAGGAGCAAAACATGCAGAAATGAACTCTTAATTTAATACGACATATAAAAAAAATCCCCGCCAGCATCCAGCATATGTGTGGTTTCTGATGGAGATGAAAAATCTGCTTCCTGGTATGTATAAGTACCAATAGTTTGCATCCAATCTTTAAATAAACTCTGTTAGTTTTTTTTTTTTTTTTTTTAAATATGTAAGAATTATGCTCTAATTTGTAGTTAACAATCTTTTGTTACTATATTTTAATTTGACCAACCAGATTTTCTCGCCATTCTTTTTCCTCTTTGGTGTGATTGCAATAGAGGATCTTGACCTGGCCGGACTGGAGGGGAAGCTGCACATTTTGAGGATGTTTGGCTCAACCTGCTGCTGTGAAGCAGGATTCTCCAACATGAACAGAATAAAAAATAAATATGGATCCAGGCTCAAAATGAGCACCTTGATATGTGCTTGAGAATGGTTTTGTCCCCAATCAAACCCAGGTTTAAAGCCTTGCAGGGCAGCCTAAAGCCCACTGCTCTCATTAAGCCAGAAAAAAAAAAAAAAATAACGATCAGTTCAGGTGTTTTATAAAATATGTGAATCAGGAAATAGTCTATATAAAACTGAAAGATTGATGTTCTCTACTTCAAAAAACACTTTAGATTTTAAAACGGAAAAATTTTCTATTTTCTATTTTTTATTTATTTAAAAATTCAATATAACATGAATGCATAAACACCTAATTTTATTTCAGTATTAAATTCTGTTTAAAGTAGCAGATCATTAAAAATGTCTCCGGACCTTTACTGGTTGATGATTTTCTTTATTCAGACAGATTTTTAATTGGTTACTCCTGGTTTTATGTTTATAAATATTTATTTCACAATATGTGCGGCATCCAATGTAGATCATTGGCGCCTTCCACATCTAGTAAAACTAGTGTAATTGGATGAGTCATATAACGCAAAAACTCATTGGTTAGTTAAAGAAAATCATCAGAAGCAAGCAGGTTGTCTGCAAACGCAAATTGTCTATGCCATGCTACAATGTCAGATTCAGAAAAAGATGTTGAAATGTCAGAAAGGTCGGACACAGTCGAGAACGTATCAGGAGATGGAGACAGAGACCAACAAGACTTCCCTCATCCTTGGCGCTATCTCAAAGAATTTTTCGAAATAGTCAAAAAATCAATTCATATAGTGACATCTGGCTGTTGTTTTTAAAGGTTACTTTATACTTCAATTAGTTTTTGGAGCACATACTTTTTCACTTTTTACTTGAGTAAAGAGGTAAAGTTGATACTTCAACTTTTACCAGAGTGTTTTTAAACTGCAGTATCTATACTTCTACTTAAGTAACAGAAGTGGGTACTTCTGACACCACTGCTCACCTTGCAGGTTCTGGAGAGGGAGCGTCATAATTCCCCCTGCAGCGGCAGCAGCCACCAGGCTCTGGATGTTGGCCGTGGGCAGGGAGAGCACCAGGCCCTGCTGTCCACCAAGGTGTCCGCCTGCATTGAAAGGGATAAGGATGGGCTGGTTCATGCCTGGCGTCGCCCCGGACATCACGCCACCCACTGCGTTGGCTAATTGCTGGGCCACCAGGAGAGACTGCAGAGGAAACATAGACATACTGTACATGAATTGCCTTTGAACAAAGATTGGTGGCATTTCTTTAAAACTTGTACAAATGAGTTTTTCAAGACATTTTTCCCAAGCAGATCTTTTATTTAGTTTTGATGACCATAAAAAGTATGTTATATTATTTCACAACTAGACTCGCTGGTTGTTCCCAATTTTTGATTACAATTTGTCTTTAAATAACTGCAGCATTAAACATATAACAACAGTCTTCTACATTTTATCAAGCCTTTCAAAGCAATACAGTTAAAGCAAACTAGCGATTTCAGTTTTATATTTGTTATGCTGATTACTTCATTACACAGAACAAACTCAGACGCTACTGATGATGCTACTGATTTATAACTGTGTTAATATTTTGATTATTATTTAATATTTTTTCAACAATGTTAATGTCAATTATGACGCCTTTGCTCAGATTTTATGGTATAGGGTTGATTTATTCAACAGTAGTATCTTAATCTGCATCAGATATCGCCAATCACTCTCAATCCTCTTATCGTTATCAGACTGGATGGAAAAAAATTGATTGGTGCATTTCTATTAATTATGATCACCGAAGAATCTAAACTGAAACTTAATGCCACATAAATTTTTTTTATAGATATAGAGAATACATTTGTTCAATGAGGTGCTACAATAATGTAACTGTCTTTTTTTTATATATATTTTCATGTGAGCCTTTTTAGATATCTATATTTTTCTTAAAACCATCTTGTTGTTGCCCTCTCATGGTAGCTATTGCAGTTGAAGTGTTTCAAATGGCACATGCTGGTGTGAACCTTTTGTCATTATAGACCCACATTCAGGTATTAATACAACTCCATCAGACACTCATCCCAGTCGAGTCATCCCATTCTCCACCGCTGAGCAACACGAACTTCAGGAATTGCTTAGTCAGCACTTTTAAGCAAGCGGTTCAAACTGATATGTCTCAGACCGACTGGGATCAAAAAAGCCTACATCAACCTCTGGTTAAGGGGGGGATGAAAAATGCTCCACCAACTACAAGCTTCCCTTTACTCACTGTCCATGCTTTAATAAGGCTAAGTTAGTCTAGGCCAAGCTAGCTGTCACATTCTCTTGTCTAAACTGTTCATACTTAGCCCTGGATACCCCTCAGGATCTCTTGGCACGGACCACTTTGGTGGCATTTATATTCTTTGTCTTGGGGGGTTAGAATTTCTATGCAAAAAGTGATGCATAGAATATGAATCTTTGGCCTTAGTATCTGTTTTTCCAAATTATTTTGTCTGAAAAATTTGCTGAAGTTTGAATTAAAGAGCGCAATTTTGAACCAGAAATGTCTACTTTAGCCAAATAAAGTAGCTTTTACTTGATATGGGAGAATGTGTTTGATGGATAGATGGGCAAGTCAGCAGTCAAATATTGCTTTCTCAGAACAGAGCTCCATCTTTGTTAGAAAGCAAAGAATTTATATCTCATAGAGACTCAGTGAACATTTTCCCCTTTGAAAAAAAAATCACTGGCAACACAGAATAATGTGCTTGAAATAGGCAGAGCTTTTGAAGAAATCAGCAGTACTTTGCTCTTTTGAAGAGGGTTGTAACACATCAGTTCTCTTGGATTTGTTCATTTTATCTAAGTTAAAGTAAAATCGTTTTGGGAATCCTAACCGTGTAAAGATGTGTTATCAAAGAAATCTCTATAATCTACTTTTTCCACCAACAGCTCACTACAAATGTGTCCTTCAAACCAGCGGGTTTCCAGTTATAGACATCTGGGCTTTAACCCGGTGGTTAAAAATCTACAGATGTATGAAGGGAAAACATATTTAAGTCTAACCTATGCAAAATTTTTGAAATTATGTCAGCATTTGTTAATGTCAAATGTAATCATACAAGCAACATAAGACAGGACATAGCGGTGATATTGCAAAGTTCAACAATACTCCCAGAGTAAACATGGGATTGAATTGTTTGAAATAAAATAATAAAAGCATTATGTCAGCTTGTATTGCACTCACAGTAAAGTAGGCTGCCTCAGACATTGCAGAACATGCCTGGTTGCACTGTGCACACAAAAGTTTACAAGCCTTTAACTCCAATTGTCAGCTATCTGCTTTGTTTTGCATGGTGTGTGTGCACCTTGTGTAGGATGTTGAGCTGGTCGACTCTTAGGACCACATGCTCCTGGGAGACAGGCGTGTCACAGTGATAACTTTACACATTTCTGAGTGTTTGCACCTACTCCAGCCTGCATGTGATCAGAAAGAGAGCTCGGGCCCCAGAAAACAAATAAAAAGTTGCATTTGATATGAAGCTGTTAAAAAGAGGGGTTGAGTGCTGCTGACAGAATTGCTCACAAACACTGTAAAGTATTCCTCAACTCAACGTTTGCTTTGATATACAACAGCAGTGCATAACAAATCTGAAGCATCTGAGAGCATACATAATAGCATTTGCCATTAACTTTAGAAAAATGAATTAATTATTTGGGGGCTCAAAGAATCCTCAAAGGGACAGATACAGAAATGACGCGTTTGTTAGCAGTGGGTGACACATTTGTAATCTTGCTTTTTTTTAAAACTAAATTTAATCTCAAACAGACACAGCCCCCAATCAAAGGGTCTCCTTAGACATTTCATCTGTGTATCAAACAAAATGAGATCGCCCAGCTTGACAGTAAAGACAGCCTCAGATAGAAGGGAATAGCATTAAAAGACAATTATGAGATGTAGTGCCGATGTATTCATTGTTACAGGCGGCTTTAGAGACGCTGGTAGCTGCTAAGAGAAAGCAGAGGAGAAATGTTTAGGTGGTGATCATATGCTTAGATAACTGCTGATGTGCACATCAAGATCTGACACCACAACAATCGTAGACAGAACAGAATTACTGCAGTTTGAATCCAAAAGCATTCCTAACCCAAAGTTTCTAAACCCCTTCAATTTTCCCACTTTTTGCTCACTCATTCTAATTGGCTAGAGAGTATTCATGGATGTTAATTTTCAGGTCTTAATTTTCAGGTCTGGGGCTATTATAACACATGAATATGTTAAATCCTTCCGCTGCAGCTCTAGGCTATTGTTTGGTGTTGCGGTTGTTGTCAGGGTTTGTGGATGTAGGTCCAAGAGGCTTAATGTGGACCCAAATGCAGAGTAGAATGATGAAGGTAAGATTACTTAAAAAATGTAATGAAAAAGTAAAAAAAAAAAAATAATCCAAAGTCCAGAACTGATCGACAAGGAATCTCAAGAACCAAAAAACTAGGAGACACAAGAGAGGAATAAACCAAAGAATGACAAGGATCAAGCAATGAGCAACTGACCAGGAGGTGTATATATATGGGAGACAGAAACAATAGGAGGACTAATTAGCTGATAGAGAGCAGGTGTAGACAGAAGTACCTAGAAGGAGCTAAGGGAAAGTAGACTGGGACAAGGAGGGACAGAGCGTAACTCAAAAAATACAACACTGCTTAAATATAACACAAAATGGAAAAGAAACCAATGATAGAACGACATAAATCAAAGTGTAACTGAAAACTTAAAAAGAAACTTAAACAGAAGTCCACAAAGGGCAGTAGTGTTGGAAGGTTAACCTCTGCTCCAGTCCTAAATCTTTGCAACCTTTAGAAGTGTGTTTGGGTTTGTTTTTGTTTTTTTCAAACCAGAGTGCCTTTTTTTGGCAAACTCGTGTCCCTTATTTGGAGTATAAGAAACTGCAATCAGGACTTCTCAGGGGCTTATTTCAGCAATGGACTTTTTTTCTCTTCTATAAAGGCCATGTGTGTTGTCCTCTGGGTTGTCCTACATGAGCTGTGAATCTCTAATACCCCATTTACACTACCCTTGAAAAACCGTACCGAGACCAGTCCGAGCCCAGTAACTAAGATAACTTATCATGTGTAAATGGAAAGCAAACTGAACTGAACCGAGCTAGACACAACCGAACCGAGCTAACTGCAGACCAGTTCCAGAGGTGGGCTCGGCTCGGTTTTTCCCTGGCTCGGTTCTCTGATAACAAGAGCGCATAAGCAGAACGCATCATCTCCGTCTGGCTGCACATCCCGATTCACACTCCGTTCCAGTAGTTGGCGGTAATGCCCCTCCGGAAGTAATGGCATTTTAAATAATAACACCGAAGTACAGCAATAATAATCAAGCATAACTTTCTGAATGTGACGGGTGCCGCCATTTTGATTTGCTTGATTCCCTCTTTCTTCGTCTTCTTCTTCTTGTGTTTTATGGCGGTTGGCAAACAACTTTTGGTGCATTACCTCCACCAACTGCTTGATTTCCTCCTTCAGTACTGGCAGTAATACCGCAGATTGTCACTAGGAGGCGAGGAGTCGAGGAACTGAGATAGCGTGATGTGTTAACGGTCGTCAGAACCAAGCTTGGCCTGGTTAACTGATCCGAGCTCGGACCGGTAGTGTAAGGGTAGTGTAAATGGGGTATAAGTTACAGACCATAGTGCACAATCAGTTGTGTCCTATTTTGTAATGTTGTTTCAGATAAAACTCCATTGAAATATCTTGAATGTTGTAGTTGTAACCTGAAAATGTGTGAGAAAAAGTTCAGTGGGTATTTATACTTTTGGAAAACTCTGTCTCGTTTTGCTCAAAACCCTAAACTTTGCTAATCTAGATTAAGGAGCCGTCCGTCTCCTGGCTTTTGGCCTTAAAGCTCTCTGCTGTCCTCTCTGTAGGTGCTACCGGAAAGTTGCTGTACATCGCTTGGAAGACCTGACAGCTAAGTGTTGAGAAGTGGTCTCCTAGGGGCCCCACTGACACACAGACTGGGTTTAGCGTTGAGCTCTGGAAGAGGAAACAGCCCCACTCTGGACTGGATGTTCTACCCTGTCTCTCTGCTCATCAGGGGAGAATAGGCCCCTCCATCTGCTTGGCAGCTCTGGCACTGAGAAATTGCCCATAATCGCACAGATAGCAGACTTTTGTCATCCTGACTGCAATTGGGAAACAGAAAGAAGGTAGATTCATGTTGGGTAAACTACCATCAGATAATGGTTGTTTGAACAATATCCGGCTCTGAGGCGAGAATCTATCACAACATATTGATCCTGGAGCAGGAGAATTGGGTATGGCATGCGGAGCGCTTTTGTTTCTGAAAAGTGTTAGCTTCACAGACTGTACTGACAGCATTAATATATTAGATGGTGACTGCTGAGAGCCGCCTGCTGAGGATAAGACTGTAAGTGCTGCTTGCTTCTGCTCTTCTACCTCTTGAGTTTTTTCTTATCTAAATCAAAAACAGCATATATGACCAGATCTAGGTAATCAAAGAAATCTCCCTAAGCAGATTAATTCAACCAAAAGAGAAAACAATCTCTTTAAGTGGGGATTTGTCAGCATTTAAACCTCTCTAGTTAAACTCAACAACTCTCTTGTTGTCCAGTGTTTCCTCTTTTTTCTGTCCTGATGAGGGCTGACTGTCACTGAGCAACACTGAGAGCAGAGAGAATAGCCTTATTAAACAGGGTGAGGGGAACGTGAGATGCTCTGTGAGTGTGTGTTGACTGCTGACATGAAGCAACACTAACCAGATAGATGTTCATTAAACATCACTGGGGCACCAGGCCAATAAATCCAATCAGATAGGACAAAGCCTGATTGAGCTATTAACAAGGCTGGAGGCCGGGGCTCTCTGCTCTCTGCTTGTTGTGACAGAGCCTGTATTGTCAGCTTGTTAGTGCTGCAGCTCAATTACATTTGAAGATGATGTATGATGACTAAATATTTTAACATTTCACATCGTAGCATTCACTGAGGCTGTTTATGTGTTTCACACACAACATGCACTCAATAGGAACACAGAAAAGAAGCCTAATAGGAAGCGTCACTCTTTCAACCTGTAGGCTTTCTCTAATGGCTCTGAAAGTGCCACTTCTATGTATCTTTGACTTCTTTTGGCATTATCTCTCTATACTCTGTAATGGATGGTTGATGACTCAGATGTTCCAGCAGAATGTGAAAAGATATTGGCACTTTATATAAAACTATTAGCTCTTCTCTACAAATCATTGAATTCAAGTTTTCTGTTCACCTCTTTGACCAGATATGTAGAACGCCTAAACACAAAGGCATGCAGTCTCAAAAAACATATGTGAAGGAATGGGTTGCTCTAAGAAGCTCAGGTTCAGAGCGGTACCGTGATATGAGCCCGCATGCAAGGTAAATTCCATCACTGCTATCAATTTTGCAGTCCATGTCTGTTGTATTTCCACAAAGTGTCAGTGATTGGGATCGACAGAAACTCAGCCACAAAGTGTTAGACCTAAAATCAGAGCGGCTGCCAGTGGAAACTGAAACACAGAGATTAAAGAGATTGCTAGCTTTCCGTAGAGTCAATAGCTGCAGATCTCCAAGCTAGATGTGGCTTTCAGATTAGCTCAAGAACAGTGAATAAAGAACTTTATAGGATGGTTTTCAATGGCATATGCAACTGAATAAGCCTTTCTTCACCAAGTACAATGTAAAGTGTTGAATGCATCGGTGTAACGGATGCAGCCGATCGGATCGAGCAGTGAAGACAGATTCTCTAGATTGACCAGTCATGGCTGTATAACTTTTAATTGGATGAGTCTGTGTTCGGCATTTTCCAAAACCACATTACTTGCCTGGTTTCTTACCATTTCTTTAAAAAAAAAAAGTTTTTGGATGTAATGAAAAATTTTGAATATAACTTAATTCTGATTATGAACATATGACCGAACCCAAATGTATAATAATAATTAACGGTTGTGTCCCTTTATATTCGTTCATATTCAGTACCTGTGTATATCAAAAGGTACAACTTGGAAATAACCCTTAAGGAAGTATTAAACATTTTAAAGGTTAAGCTTTAATCAGCTTTAAGTGGGAAATTAATCATAATTATGAAAGGAATAAACATCAACCTGTCTGTATGATCTGATGGGTTTAACTTGATGAACTAAGAAACTTAAATATAAAAACTATTTAAAAATATTCTAATTTCTAACTCTATATGAGATAAACCAATTAAACAGTGTTAGTGCTCTAAGCAATACATGTGACATTTCGACCTCCAGCTGGCACCTCGCTGGTTTCATGATTTGTGACGTGTTAGATAAAACTCAGCTATGCCTGAGTAACAGCATATCTGACTGCATTGATTTAGGTAAAAGAGCAAATTTACAAAAGCATGTTTAACAGCAGCAATCTAACTAATATTAATATTATCACAATCAACAATGTTTCTTTCTCTTTTTATTCTCCCACTCACCTGTGGGCCCATTGGGTATCCAGGGTGAGACTGTCCCAGCTGACTCTGCTCAGACGGGCTGCTGCTGGCGTCAGACTGAACTGATCCGTCACGAACTCCTAAAAGAGAGACGGGGATAGAGCAGAGCAGAAAAAGCACAAATTAGAGCGTAAACAAAGATTCAACCTGTGATCAACACAGACTTTATAAGCAGATAAACACAGAGCACATACCAAGCTGTGATATTACAGCGCTGAGTAGAGAGGGCAGCAAGGAAGGGGGGGAGGAATTTGTATTTAAGTGCTTTATCAATAACCACTGTAGCACTGAATAAATTACCAACCAGCAGAGAGAGTCATTGATGGCGGATGATGCATACTGGCGGGTCCCCGATGGCCTAGATTACCGCAGAGAGATAGAGCTCCACCACAAACGCTGGGGCCATATTATTCAGCCATTTACATCGCTGAGTATCACTCATCTGAGCCCACTCCCCCCTCTGCTCTGAGCCTGCAGCTATGAGACACAATTAGACCTGTTTGCTATGAGGGCAGAGTGGAGCTGAGCAGACAGGGACATGATAATAAGCTTGCTGATGGCTGCAGGGAAAATAAAGGCCACAGATGATTGGTTATCATAGCAATCTCTATCTCACATAATCTCTCAGCAGTGCATCCAGCTTGGGCTGCTCTAAAAGGTCCAAGAGGCTGATTTGACCCTTAAACTTCTACCTACATGATATCAACATCACATGATATCTCACTGTAGACACATAGACTTTAGGAGGGTTTTTTTTCCTCACGATGCAAAGGAATTTAATATTAAAGCCCAACAGTTTATTATTTTTGGAAAAGAGGGAACCTACACTGGAATATCAATCCAAGAAGGGTGAATTAGCATGTTTAATATATTCAAAATGAAAATAATGTTAAACAAACTTCTTTAACTCTTCAATCGATTTTAATATTAATTCCAAAATTGCAAAATCAAAGTAAAACGCATGTAACCATTAAGAAATTTCGCTTGAACAGAGGGCTTAAAGGCCAGAATTGCACTTTAGTAGTTTCTTAGCAATAGTTCTTTTTGTTCCCACAATGATCCTTACAACTACTGTAAGCTAAGAAAGATAGAGGAACACAAGATCAAGAGCTGACCCATTGAGACCAGCCACCATCTAAAATATTGTGTGCAACTAAATATTGTTTAAGATCCAATTATTTTAAACAGCGACCAGTTAAACACTTTAAACAATTAAACATTAAAATAATTAAAAGTATAGTGGAGGATGTTCTTTTCCGCGTGGATCATCTAAATAAGTGGTCTTCCTAATTGTCAATCATTCTGGTGATATGTTTACGTTAGGCAGTCCTACGTGATCGTCCTTATTTTCACTTACCAGTGGCAAATCTGACATAGCGAAAAAATTGCAAATCTTCTTTTGGAAAGTAAGCTTGTAAGAGTGATGCAAACTGCAACTTTTAAACAGAGCGTGCACAAGGAGAAAGGGGCTCGTGCACGCTCTCACACATGTATAATAGGTGTTCCCTCTTGGGAGGGGTACAGGGTTGTGCATGTGCATAAATTTTTTTTAAATGGAGAGGGCAGCTCTTTTCAAAAATTTGCGAAAAGGTTTAAGGTATCTTCTCCCTATTTAATTAAAAATCATGGCTATAAATATGTTTATAAAGCATTATATACAGATTTTAAAAGCATTTATATTTGGGCTTTAATACATATTACATATTTTCTCTGGGTTATAACTCTTAACCCTTGAATCCTTTTTATCTATAGCTCTGTATTAAAATTTTCTACAACAACAAAGTTGACAAAATATTCTTTTTTAATGACTGATGCCTTCCTGTTTCAAAAGCGTTGCCCTGTTTCAAAGGTTGTTGGCCTTAGTTTAACCTTTATGTTAATAAAATAAAGCCCAATGTATGAATGCATACCTAAGCTGTCACTGTGTATGAAGACAGCAATGAAATGAAAAAAGTTAGATCACATTTCAGCCATGAGGTCGAGTTGCTTTATCGCAGCTTTGAAAGAAGCATATATCTCATGTTCAATGTGCTTTTTTATACAAAGAAGAAATTGTGTTTTCTTTTTCCTTTTTTCATAACCATACAGCCCATCCATTGGGTTCAAACGTTTTATAGAAGAAACTTTCTTTTCCAGTGTCCTGCCGAAAAGATCTTATTGCATGTCAAGTATATTTACATGGTACAATTTAAGCTCCCCTCCGCCAACTAAAATCACTTCATCTTTGCATAAAATCCAAATAATTGGTGAATGACGTGACCTACCAAATGAACCTTACGCATTTGATGGCTGATGTGAAAGCCCAAGGGGGGAAGCCTGCTTTTTCTAGCTGGTTTCTACCTCTGGCTTGATGGCCCTGCTTCTCGATAAAGGTCCGCATCCTCCCGCTTATCAGCCTCACAACGCTGGCGCTGTTTTGACAAGCCAGTCTCTTTTCACCAATTATTTTACCCATTACAGATAACTTTGTGCCTGCATGGCTCCACCCTGCGCACTCAGTAAATGGAATCAGGATCAATGCAAACATATCAGAGATTGAATCTCAGCTGAATATAAATAAAAATGATGAGGAAAGGTAAATGTTCCCCTTAAAGATTTATTTTTTTGCTTTTGTTTGGAAACATATTTTAAATCACCAGAAAAGAATGCAATGATCAGACAAACATTACCCGAATAAATAAATATTGATTTTAGTTATAAAGAGAGAAAAGCTTTTCAGAACAACCTGAAACCCAGTGCAAATATATTTGCCCTGGTTGTATGTCATAAATAAATAGCCATTAACCATATTGTTGGTTTTAATATACTTCGATTGAAGCTTTATATAAACATGAAGCAGCCTACAGGATCTTAAATAGCAACACATCATGTCACAGATTTAAAGAGAAAAGAAGAACATATAAGAACAAAGTGCATGGGACACAAAGCCATCTCAGAGCCTTTGTATTTCCATCCAGTGAAAGCCTTCCTCCATAAATGGAGAAAACTTGTAACAGTGGGGACTCCACTACCAAAGCCACTCCAGGAGTGTTAAGATCCTTGTTTGGATTGCATTGCCAACACACAGTATTCTGTTGACCCAGGAGACAAAAGTGGAATTTTTTTTAAATGTTGTCTCCTATTATCTGCTGTAAAACAAACACAGCATCTTAAAAGTCATCCCACCTATATGATTGAGGTAGAGTGATAACCAAGGGCTAATTTGCTTCTTTAGAAGACAATCAATTGCAATTGAAGAATCCATTAATTCTGTTACTTTAGCAGAAAAATTCAAAAGAGAAATCTAAAAATCAAATTCAGGTTGTCTTTGGGGTATGCTAAAACATAAAAGTAAAATGAAGGTGTTGAGGGGGCCTAATTGAAGTCATGTTCATGCTCAATAACCCTCCAATGGGACATTTACTTCTTCACAAAAGATCAGATTGAATTGAAAAACATTTTTTCCCCTAATAAATAAAATAATTCATCAATTTGTAACGTTCCGATGTGATAAATCAATTATTAACATGATGATAGATTTAAATAAAGACAATAATTTATTTATGTATAATTTTCCCTTTACTAAAGGGTCTGGATTACAAAATTTGTCACTTGTATGTGTAAATGTAAATCCCTTTATTGTCCCACAATGTGGAAATTCACTCTCTGCATTTAACCTATCCCCTTGGGCAGCAGTGGGCTGCCATTGTGTGGCGCCCGGGGAGCAATGTGGGGATAAGGGTCTTCCTCAGGAATCCAAAGTGGAGGCTGTGGGGATCAAACAGGGTACTTTCAACCTTCTCAGAGCACAAGCGCACTCTTCTAACCACTAGGCCAACACTCCACGTATCTGCCCCTAAGGAGCATCAAGCCAGAGAAACACCAGCTGAGATTTTGAAAAGAAAAACTGAGACAAAATCAGTTTCAAAGCCCTTTGCATTCAAACGGAATGACATGATTATTGTTTAACACAATAATTGCTGGAACAATATATCATCCAGAAATATTTCTTATCATGCACGACCTTAATGTAATGAAAAAAAAAAAGAAAAACAGAAGAAATCTATAAAGAGTAAATCATATTTTAACAAATAAAGTTTATTCTGAAATGTTTAAACACAATTCCACCGGAGTGCATGTTATTAGATGTATTCTCTCATTTCATTTCTTACTATTGGGCAAAAAAAAATAAAGTTTCCGTTATTTTTTAATGTGCTGTAAGTCAACTTTCAAACCATATCAAAAGTGCTTTAATATGCTGCCTCCATAGTGTGATGAAAATAAGACATAATTACATTTTAAAAGAGGCCTTTTCAGTAAATATAAAATGCAGTAGTTATTCCAACACCATAATAACATAACCAATTAGCAAAATGATTAAATAAGATGACAAAATAAATGATCAATAAACTCCAAACAGTAAGACCGATGACTTTTATTAAGATATTGCTCATTAATAATGTATTTCACCTGATAAGCAGAACAGCAGACCTACCAAATAACGATTGCTTGATGCCTTTCATCACATCATCTCACAATAACTTAGAAGGCTTCATCTCTTTGCAAATATCTGTAAAGTTAACATGTTTATATCAGGAGACGAAAATCGATAATAAATAAATTCTCATGCACAGCTTCCCTCTTAGGATTTGTGTAATTTCTTTAATAGCTGACTGCAGAGACACCCAGGGAGTCAGTCTTTTCAATTCCTCTTTTATCACTAGAATCTTTGCGCATGTCAAGCTTTCATGTCTTAAAAAATAACTGCAGGAATGAATTTCTAATGTATTTCTAAATGGAGATTAATTCTGTGTTCAGAAGAGGGGTTAAAAGCGTATGTCTTGATCAAATCTTTGCTCAAAAGGAATTCCTTTGAATCCTGGATTGCACATAGGTCATAAAGTGGATAAAATGGAATGAAAGGAAATATTGACGTGAGGAACGACGGACAAAGAGGCCAAACGATAATAAAAATAGGGGACGCACATTCAACAGAGGCTTATATTCACACAGAGCATTTCTTTCAGCATTCAGTTGTTCAACTTTTTGAACAGTTCATGTTTAAACAACACATCTGACCCCAAATATGACATTTGTATTG